CATCCTCTTTAGACTTTTTCCCAACATTTTCGAACCTCGTGGTTTTGTCATTCTCTTCCTTTTTTATCCTGGTAAGGCAAGAATTATCATACAAAATTCTCTGACACCAAGAATGTGTCTGTCCACTGTTCATATTCTATTTTTTATCCTGCCTGTGAGTTCCTCTCTATAACAAAGCTCGTGCCCTGGCAGGCTTTTTCCCTTGGTCCCTGAGTGAGTTCAGAAATAGTTACAGTCTAAATAGTGCTGACTGGCAACACCTACAAGGGAACTTGGGTAGTGTCTTTATCTGAGTTCAAGCAGAGGCCAACAGAAGAGCAAGTTAACCCTGGAGCTGAATTCTAGAACTATCCCAATGTGCAGGCTCTTTAAGACATACCAATTAAACAAAAAATATCAAGTTAAATCAGAATATAAAAGTAAATGTATCAATCACTGAAATTTTGCCAAAAAGGCTGAAAGCTTAAAGTTAGGACTTTGGGTCAAGCAAAACACCAATGTTTAATCATCCTTTGTTTTTATTTATCCTTGCTACAAGTGAAGTCCCCAGCCCCTAAAACTTTAGCAATTCCTGAGTGGGCTATCTGGAGGATGTGGGAGGCAGAGTCCTTATTTCCCATTTCTTCAGTCATGCAGGCCTACAATTCTCCATTTTCTGCTGGTCTTTGTGATTGAATTTCCCTCTGTATTCAATTCCGTACTTCAGGTTTCTTGCACTCTCTGTGTACTCAACCATGCTGGAGGTTTCTCATGAAACCTCATCTCAGTCATGTATAATTGAAAATGCCCAAACTGTCTGTTATGGATTCAGAACTGGTGGTCAAATTAACACCAGCTGGATTACCTCAGCATGGCATTATGTGAAGATCCCCTACCCGAGGAAAGTTGCCAGAATAAACAGGTGGAGAAGAAGGGAGGTGTTTAGGGTTGAGGCATTAAGGAGGCATTGTGGGTTCTCCTATGATTTGCTGTCTGAGCTGTTGGTTCTCCTGGAGAAGCTTTGGTCCTCACATTGTGCGTTGCTTCCTGACTCTGGAGGGGAATACATGTGCTGCGTGGCTCCAAGATGAACTCTTCATGCTGCTTCCTGGCAAGAACCCGACTGTGCTTGTCTTTGGAGGAGTTTGGGGCCTCCGTGTTGCTGAGGATGGCTGTGGTGCCTTTCAGGATAACCCTGGTCTTTCTTTTAGTGTGACTTCTCGGCTCCAGCGTAAAGCCCTCATCCCACTAGCACAGCTCCTTCATTCTGCTGGCATAGACTTTCTGGCTTCCAAAGCTGACCCTTGGGTCTTCCCGGCACTGATACGTAAAAGAGACTGATGTGAGTCCTCCTTGTGCAATAGGGGCCTCCAGTTGTAACTCCTGGGAGGCATTGTCCTGAGCTCTGGGTTTTTATCTGGACTGATGTGGGACATGTGCTGTGGGGTTTAGGCTCTTACCTAAATAATTTATGTCTTTGGTGTTGTGGATACATTTCCTTCATTTTCCTGTGTTAACTCCTAGTGACCAATATAAAACTGAGTAGTAAACTCCATGTCTTGATCCAGTTGTTCTCTGTGCACAATCCTTGAGTACGACATTGCCAAAGCAGTACTTCCAGTTCATGGTTCATACCATGGCTCATGTGTGAGGTTCCTGGTTGCCACAGTGCATATTTTATCTCCCTGTGTCAGTTTTGCTGTCTTCAGAACAATGGTATTAGGGATCTAATGTCTAATGCCAGCAAACAGAATGTACTGTCCTGTAGGCCACATGGAAAGGAGCTGGGTCATGTCCCTCCTAGAACTCATGGGCACAGATACCCTACACAAGCCACCAGCGGTGAGGTCTGTGTCCCTTTTCCCAGGCCCAAAGAATGGACTCAGAAGCAGGAAGAGCAGTGCAGTTGTGGATGTGAGCAGTGCAGGCAAAGCACACCCAGAGCAGGAATTTGTCTCCTAGTGCTCAGTCCCTTGCTGAGGTTCCTCATGGGCTGAGAACTATGGAGCCTGCAACCGAATGGCACTGCCAAAGGTTTGTTTCTCACTGTATATGCGGTTCCTTGGTGCCCCTGAAAACCCAAGTTTGGACTTCTTCATAATGTTGTTTGTTTTTACTCCAGGACCTTTTGAGAAGCAGGTGTTCATGCTTATATATTTCACGTGACCTTATGATTAGTGTATTTCTGTTCAGCCCCAGCTATTTTGATTACATCTTCCAACAAAGGCTTTTTGAATAGTAGATTTCTTCTGTGAGGCCCATTAGTTTAGACACTTTCTAAACTCATGAACTTAGCAGTCCTACAGGAAGTTTTTTCTGCCAGGAATTCACCACTCAGAGTTCACCCATATTTTGCCTTCAAAATTGACAACTTAAACTTCTTTTTCTTCCATGTAGCACAGAAAATTTAAAAATGAAATGAAAGAGAAATGAAATTAAATGTCCAAATTACTACAGAATTAATATAGAGTGTGTGAAGACCAGACAATGATTATAAAAATCACTGTCTGCATTGAATGGATGAATGCCCTGATTGATGAGGATACTGTAGTGTTTTTTAGTATATAATATCTCCAGTGAAATGCATTTTTGCCCTTCACTACTGCTTGTTCCTATGAACAAAATGATCCCTGTGTGGCACTGAGACTCCATTTTGCATGCAGTGCCTCAGATTACTTCCTCCCTAATAAGGGTTCTGAGTACACTGCAGGTACATTGTGATTAGTAATGAAATGGTTTTGGAAATGGTAGTAAGTAGACTTCAAGGTATTTGACTTTCAAGATGAGTTCAGAAGACTTGGGCTTCCATCTTGTTCCTGCTCCTCCTTACGTCTTATGGTCCCCAGTAGGGAGAGCTGTATCTGCCAACAGGAAGACTCTCATCCCCACTGGGACCCAGAAATGACTTGAAGCCTTGAATCACCTCAGGACTAAACAGAACCACCAAGTTACAGAGCTAATGCTACACCTCAGCAACTGGAGAAAAATGTCGGCACATGTTACAGTAGATCTCGACCATGTAGTTAGAGTGAGGAGTGGCCTAGCCAATGGGGAATGAGAAACTGGCTCATTTGCATGGCTGCCAAGCAACACTTGTGTTGTCACTGGCATGAGGTTCCTCAACTGCCAGAGTCTTCTTAACAGTGACAGTCGGTCTCAGAGGCTGAGGGTCTGTTGAGGTGAGCACAACTCTTTCTAGTTTCTCTTTTATATCCACAAAAGTGAATAAGTCAAACCAATCCTGGCTCTTGATTTATCTTAGTGAACTAACATACTTTTAATGGTGATTTCTGGTGGTTACTGATGACGAGAGTTGAGGGCTCCCATTTGAGCATCGAGACTTACACCTTGTTTTTGAGGCCTCAATATCTATATAGTGAGAGTATGCATTTTATGACATTTTGTTCACTTTTAAACATTTAAAACTTTTCCTTGGTTGTGGGAGCTACTGAGGATTAATCCTAGAGGCATTCTTTCCCTGAGCTATGCAGCCAGCGCTTCTTCTGTTTGACAAAGAGGTGGGGTCTCCCAATGTGCTTCCCAGGCTGGTCAAGAACTTGCCACTCTCCTGCCTGTGCCTCTGGAATAGCTCAGAGAACACGTGTGGGACACCATCCCCAGCTTGAGATAATTTTACATAAGGTGGAAAAACCATAAGGTAAAATATTTTGATAAATCTTTCACAAGGGTTAGTAAGGTGAAAAGCCTCCAAAGGAGATAGAGGTAGTAGTTCAGGGGTTCAAGAACTAGGGGTTCAGGTTAATCCTTTGCTTCACAGTGAGTTCTGGGCATTCTGGACTGTGTACTGAACCCCTGTCTCCTAAAACATATTTTATCCTTATAAATAAACTAGAAATTTAGTTCTTCTACCTAGTAACCACCATTTTACATGGAATGTTACAGAGTACTTCGGCTGAAAATATGCAGATGCATATTTGAAAATGTCTGGGCTGTAACTTAGTGCTTGTCAGTGTCCAGCAGGTGTGAATGTGTTATGTGTAATGTAGCCCTAGACCATGGCCAGGTCCCATTTGGTTTCTTCTGTAAAGTTCCCTTGTTTTATACTACAGTACAGAGTCCTACTAAATTTTCTTTTTATTTTCTTTTCCTTTGTATTCTGGGACTGGGTCTCACTGTGTACTGACTGGCCTTGGACTCACTATGTAGTGTAGCCTGGCCTTAAGCTCATGACCATCCTCCTGCCTCTTCTTCCTGACTACTGGGATTGCAGGATGTCATGTTTAAAATTCCTTTCAAAATTCTCTTTAGCCTTCCCTGAGGAGGTTTTGTGTTCATATCTCATAATCTTTACACCTTAATAATGAATTTAATTTCTGGAAGTGTTTAAATACCATGTATAAGAGTGGATGATCAATAAATGAAGACATTTTAAGGGGCTGGGATTTAGCTCAGTGGCATATGCGCCTGCCTTGTAAGTGGGCAGTCATGATTTCAATCCCCGGTACCGATAAAGAGGGAAAAAAAAACCAAAAAAAATGATGTCATTTTAAGGCAACCCTTAAAATTCAATTTTACTCTAAAAACACATAGATAGTTCTTTTGTGACTACATTCCTCCAGCCCCTCTGTGACTTGTCAATCCCTAAAAACCCTTTCCTTCCCTCTGCACTGAAGGCAGCTTCATGTATATTAGTCTAGCATGTATTAATTTCCATCCATGTGTTCATCTTGTATCCATTTAAATAGGCACATACCACAGTAAAGCAGGAGATTTAATGGTTTTGTTGTCATATAAAAAATTTCTTACATTTTCATTGTATCTTTAGTTTGTGGTCCACATGAAAATGTATTTTGAGTAAAGTCTGATAATATAACATGATGTAACATAATTCTCCAAATCTGATATTCTGTGGTCAGTTTAGCATCTTCACCACTGAATCATAGCAGGTCTCTTTATTAATGTAAAAAACTCAAAAGTTAACATAGGTACTCAGTGTAATTTCACAAGGAATAGTAGTAAATGCACTAGTAGCTAACCTGCACTGCTCTCTTTCCATACAGGAGTAACCTATCTTGACCCAAGGCATAGTTCTTGCCTGACGGCCTCTCTTACTGGTAACTTCTGTTTTCTCAGCTACTGAGGTGAGTTAGTTCCACATTGACCAACATCTCCCCACAGCACCTGGGGGCTCATTCTAGCAGGATCTGTACTCTGCTCCTTCGACATTTTTCAGGGCTGAGCCTATTTACCTAGGAAATCCTTCCAACCACTCAGAGTACTGAAAAGAACTTGCACTTTGACACTAATTGCTACACTGTGTGAAATCTACTTCACATTTATCTTGTACAAGTGAAATACTGTATTAGAGGTGCCTACTGCATTGTTCTGTGCAGAACAGAAAAGGGCGTGTCCAAAACACCGAGGAGAGGGGCCGGGGAAACCCTCATCTGTCCAGTGTTAGCTGGCACTCATAGCTTTTGCTAATGACCATCCTTCACTTTTGCTCCTAGGAAGTGACTGCTGCCATACCACTGACCAACAGCCAATCCTAGGTCAGAGGGTCTGTGAGCCTGGTGGGCAGGACCCTGCGGGGCCACCCCCTTGAGACTCCCTGTAGAGGGAGGTTCTCGTGGAGGTGCAGATTTTGTCTCAATTCCTGAAGGTGAGTCAGACGCTTGGCTTAGCTTTTCCCCTGTGTACTTACCACTGCAGTCTGTGGCACCTGCAGCGTTCTACCAGTGTAGAGGTTGGAGACAGGATGAGAAGGAGTCTGCAGGTCTAGGAGGGGACAAGAAAGAGTCTTGGAAGGGAGACTTTTGATACTTACAGGTCTCAGAGAGGAGATTACCCGTGCCAAGGATAACCAAGGGGAAGTATCAATCAGTGGGGAAAAGCCTTGGTGAATGGGATCGAATGCATTCAAAAGAAGGAAATGATAGCTAACTTATCAGTGGGACTGGGTCTTCTTTATAGAGTATACTCCTCTAACCAAACCGTGGTTTTCCCCTGAAGGGGACAGAGCCAGTTATCTCTCTGTGACAGCTTTCCATTGCTCAGCTCCTGACATGAACTGGACCCATTGCCCCCTACTCCCTGCCACAGCACCTGGAGTTCCATCACCCAGAACTGCACACACCCAGCCCCTTAACCATATCCAGGGCTGAGTCCATTTTCTTAGAAAATCCTTCCCTGTGAAGAATGTGTGTTGTAAGTATACCGAGTGTTGGATTTTGAGCCATGCAATTCACCTGTAGCTTGTGAAATAGAAGGTAGTCATGGCATGACTCCATAGTCCTGTGGAGAGTAGTCAATGGCCTGTCTGAACATTGAGGAGGGTGGTAGTCGTCTCTCAAGTGTTAGCTGGCATAAATGACTCTTCCCAGTGACAGTTCCCCATCTTTGCTACTAGGAATTTCTGTTGCCATCACCACTGATGGATACCTACTCTTAGGTCAGAGATCTTCTGATCTAACTGAGCAGGGTCCCCTCAGTGCCTTCATCCCTGGAATTCTTTGGAATCTGCAGGTTTTTTCACTAACATCTTGGGTCAGTGACTTGGCTTCTCTCCCTCTTCTCTCAAGCCTAGCTCCATGAAATCTACAGTGTTCTAAGAGTCTAACCATACAGATAGGATCAGGAGAGATTGTGTTTCATTAAGATGAGACAAGAATGAGCATTGAGAGGAAGACATTTCTGTAACACATGGTGTCAGACAGGAGGTTCCACATACCAGGCTGAAACAAGCAGAAGCACCTGGTGTGTGTTACATGACAGAAGACGTGAATGTGGGGAACCTGAATCACTTTTATGGGATTTTGGAGGAGTTAGAAGTCAGGGAAGATCAGGGAGCTACATATGGAAGGCTGCAATAATTTCACTGGGCTTTGGGTGTTGGACAGTCTCTAGATGTTTGCACCTGGGCCCGGGTGTTTTAGAGCAGAGTAAATATTAGAGAAATAGGTAGATAAATAAGTCATTGAGATCAGACACAGGGTTGGTTTTTATAGGAAACTCGTGTTTTGAGTGGGCCTTTACTAGCCAGAAATCAGCTTCGCAGAGGAGAGAGAATTTCTCCCAGGCGAACACATTGCTGGAGATGTCTGAACAACATAAAGATGGAAACTAATGATCACCATTGACACACTCAAGCCCAGAGATGTCTCACTTTGACTTCTTTCTTGATCTTCACATGGATTTGTCCCCTGTGGTCATGTGTCCAATTTCCCTTCCCCTTGGAAAAAACCATCACTGGATTAGAGCCTGCCTTAAAGATATTTTGACTTGGTTGTCATCAGGTAAAAGAGCCACAGAGTAAATGCTGAGGAGCCGCCATAGGAATCAGCCAGCTGCGGGGAGGGGAGGACAAGCTTTGAGGAGAGCTTTCTATCTCAACCTTAGGGGAAAGGAGTAGTGCAGGAAAGTGTCCCAGGGAAGGGAATACCTTTTTTAAACTGGGGATCAATCTGAGGACAGAATTTTTGCAAGGCAGGCGCTTATGCTGCTTAGTTAAATCCCTGGCTAGAAAAGATAAATTGGAAACCGAGTAGAAATGTTTATGAGCTGGTGGCTGAAGGACAGGAAGGAAAGCAGGTAAGAAAGAGTAGCATGCGCATGGTCCATGGAGAGCTGGGACTAAATCGGGACTCAGTATGGTGGGAACCTAACCTGGGAAGCATCGGAGGTTACCACCAGCTCAGAGTGTTAGGAGAAGGCGTGGTTACTAGCTCTGAGTGTTAGAAGTAGGCGCTGTGCGTGGCTGCAAGGACACTCCTGAAGGGTTTTCTGTGGGTAACAGCACACCTGGATTTGGCTGCTGGGCAATTATTGAGGCATCACTAAAAGTACTCTGTTGCATAGGTGGTCGAGCTAGGAGGAGGCCTGGTTGCTCCTGTTCTCAGTTGCTGACTGCTTTGTGCTATAATCACCTCACTGTAGATCCTGTGGATTATTGTCTGCTCTTTGTGGTTTCCTATGAAAGTTAATGTTTGTCCATCAATTATTGCAATGCTAGCTGAGTAATACTCAGTAACTTTTACACCGTATCAGAGAGAAAACTGCAATTAAGTACTTTGGAACATGTATTTGTTTGAAATTTGATTCAGAGACAAACATGTGTGTTTGAAAGATAAGACTTTCTAGAATCATCATTTCTTTAGACTGCTATGCTTTTCATGTAATGCTGCTTTGTCCTTTATTTTGACACAGGGTCTTGCTATCTAGTCCAGGCTGGCCTTGAACTCCTTATGAAGCTCAGGGTGGCTTCAGACTTGAGATTTTCCTGACCCAACTTCCTTGTGGCTTCTATTATTGATGTGCACCATCATGCCCTGTTCTGTTTTTTTTTTTTTTTTTTTTTTTTTTTTGGTCTTTTTTCATTTTTATCGGTACCGGGGATCGAACTCATGACCTCCTGCTTGCAAGGCAGGTGCTTATGCCGCTGAGCTAAATCCTCAGCCCACGCCCTGTTCTTAAGCTGGAATTTAATTTCAGAAGCAATGTTCATTTTCCTCTTCATGTAGTCAAGACATTTTTCTTCAAAATTATAAGTAAACTTATAATGTTGAGGCTGAGGATATTGTTCAGTGGTTGAGTGAGACCATAGGTTTAATCTCTAGGGCTTGGGAAAAAGAAAAGAATAGAGAAATTACTAGTCTTTTTATACTTGGATAATTTGTTTGAAACTAATATAAAATGGCTAGAAAATATTCAAAAATCTAATGTCAAGGGTGAGTACAATACATTTACTTTAGGAGAGAAATGTACGCTTTTAGACTTTTGCAGAGTTGAGCGATGACCTTTGTGGACAGAGCTGACTCTTCAGACTCATCGGACCATCGGAATCAGCGCAGCCATTGTGAGGCAGCCAGCACTGCAGACCTGGGTGCAGGCTCTGCTGACCAGAGCGCTGAGTCTTCATCACTGAGTGATGTTTCCATTCACACACTTTCTTTAGGACCGGTACTGGGTGCTGTTTATTCAGAGTCCATTGTTGCTGGTAAGTCAGAGCTATCACCACCAAAGGACCAAGGAAGTTACTGTTTTCTAAAAATATTGAAAAATCACTTCCAGAAACTTTTGTATAAATGCCGCAGGCAGTTGGTAGCTTCAGAGAGTCTCTTGTTGTGTGAGAGAGATTCCCACATGGATGACTAGCATTCGAAGGTAGAAATTATTTTCCTCTAACATGTAAGCATTCCTTATTAGCATAGGTATCACAGCAAGGTACTAATTTTAGTTATTCAGATATGTATCATTGGTTTTATTCCTAATTTTTAAAGGGTAAACTATGTTCAGGAGAGTGGAGGTGAGTAAGTTTTCTTATGTTTTCAGTTAACCAGTAGTTATTACGCTCCCTAGGTAGGTACAGTGTCTGTCTTTGGAAAAGAGCAGATAAGTTAAACACAGTTATGTTTGTTAAAATTTATCCAGATAATGAAACATTGGCTCTTTCAGTGGGTACTTTTCAGCCTGAAAGCCCTGACAGTTTGAAATGCAAAGAAAAGCAATAGTAGAATTAGTTCATAATTGGAATGTTGTCCAGCTTAGGATAATTTGATCCTTGTCTTGTTTAGAGTCCTCTAGTAACCTTGATATTGTGGTGTGGGGATGTGTGCTGTGGTTTGTTCAAGGTGTTCTGACTGTGTACGAGGGGAGGCTTACAACTCAGAAGACAACTTAATCTGAAGTTAAATGTAGAACTTCAAGGCCTTTAGCTTTGCCATCAAGGCTTTCCCACAGGACATTTTTCTGCAAGGCTTTCACACTTGTCATATTGCTGGGGCTTCCCTTTCTCTCTTCACACTCCCCCTTTTTAGGACCCTTATGTTGTTCTCAACAGACTCATTTTTCCTTTCCGAATTTTGTTCTCTATTCCCTTTCAAGCCATGGCCTACTTAAATAATCATTAACATCACTTCAGGTAGAGAGCAACCTGTAGGCCATCTTTGCCTTCATTAGCACTGAGAAACCAGTTATCCTGGTGATTTTGAATTTTCCTAGTGTGGTAAGTTGTTTCTTTGTCATAGCAACCTTCAGAACTAAAACATGAGATTCCAGGGAAGGCTCAGTGACATGATGGTAGGAATGGTGGTGGCACTGAATGCAAGCATCCAAGACCAGTGTCCCAGGGTGTTGGTGTATCTTGTGTATTGTACTGATTGTGTTAAGCAGCTATAAAAAGTAATTCTAATGAACTGTCATGAAGTTTTCTCCCAGTTTTGACATTTATTAACGTATGGCCAACTCACCCGCTGACCCTGTATGCAGTATTGTAAAGAAGTCCAATATGGGGCCAGGGATTTAGCTTAGGGGCATAGTCGCCTGCCTGGGAAGCACAAAGTCAAGTGTTCAGTCCCCAATACTGAAACCAAAAGTCCAATATTTCATATTTAATTTATAACAGTTTTAGTTTGTATACACATAGGATTATTTTTAAGAAATAATAATAATTTTAAAAATCTAGTTAATATTTAGGCATCTGTGGTTCTCACATAATTCGTTTTCAGTACTAGATTACCACGGATTATACCTGGGAAGTCCTGAGGTATTTTTATTTTTATTTTTACTTTATTTTCAGACAGGATCTTGCTAACTCAATAAAATGTCCACACTGGCCTAAAACTTGCAATCCTCCTGCTTCACTCTCTTGAGTAGCTGGAGTTACAGGGGTGCACTATCATGCAGAGCTGCAGAGTTTGTTTTCAGTACTCAGTCACTGAAAGCAACATCCTCGTGGAGTCTGCACTTTGCATGTGTGGGTATGTCTATGAAATGTCTTCTAATTGGGAAGCGTACCCATTTCTTGTGTTTTTAATTTATTTATTGAAGCAATTAAATCGTTTAGCTTCTCATTTTCTAGGTTGCGTCTTTTTAAAGTATCCCTGTTTGCCTTGAAATGAGATTTAGAAGTTTGATAAGGAATCACTATTTCTTTGAGTTTAGAAGCATGCCAATTTTGTTTTATAATGTTTGCTGTTTATTGCTGTATCCCTAGGTGATGGCATTCCTCCACCACAGAAAATTCTTTTTCCGCCAGAGAAGATTTGTCTTAAGTGGCAGCAAAGTCACAGAGTTGGCGCTGGACTTCAGAATCTGGGTAACACCTGTTTTGTCAATGCGGCCCTGCAGTGTTTGACGTACACGCCACCTCTCGCCAATTACATGTTATCACGTGAACACACCAAGACATGTAAGTGCTGTGTGCTGTGGTGTTATGTGAATGTGGTATGCTAAGCTGTGGTATGCTAAGCTAGTCATTTTTTCCTCAGAAATGAGATGGATTAAGTTGTTAGGTAATCAATAAGAAGTTGGTAGGGCTCGGGATTTGGCTCAGTGGTCCTGAGTTCAATCCCTAGAGTGCCAAAAAACAAAACAAAACAAAAAAAAAGAGTTGGTTTATCCTTTAGAGTCTAGGATTTTTAGTTAGGCCACATAAGAAGCATTTTGTATGCGATTTGAGCTGGGTTGGGTGTTTATTTATTTTAGTACTGGGAATCAAACTTAGGACCTTGTGCTTGTCAGCCAGGTGCTTATGCCTCTGAACTATAACTATCGTCCATGGGGATGGTGTTCAGAAAAACCTTATTTTATCATTACTTGGCATTTCTAATCTCCTCTGAAGTTTTCTACACTTGTTAAAAATGTTTTTGTTTTTCTTGTGCTGGGGATCAGCATGTCAGGCAGATGCTCTACCCTTGAGCTCCACCTCCAGCTCTTCCCTTAGTTGGCAATGTCACCCACTGTCTGACATTAACAGTTGGGGCAAAGGATCAGATCCTGCCGCTCTGCCATTCACTGGAAGGCTTCATGCATCTTCAGGCAAAGAGAAGAACTTTCACCACTGCCCCAGTCTAGTGGAATTCACACAGAGCTTTCCTTTTAGCATTTGAGGGCTCCATCATTACACTACAGGGCAGAAAAATCAGTTACAATGGACGAATTGTGGTAGTTACTTTTTTGAGAAATCGATCCATTTCTTCTAAATTTATGTGTGAAAATTTCTATAGTATTTATTATCCTTTCAATGTTTTAAGGCTTGTGTTATAATAGTATCCCCAGTTTCATTCCTGATTTTAGTAATTGTTGTAAATTCCCCTCAGCCCAGTTTTGTGCCCCCCAGTTTATTTTTATTCCACGTAATGTATGTTTCCACTTCCCTTTATTTATTCTTTGATTTGTGGATTAAATGTCTTAAGTTTCCAGTTATTTGGAGATGATCTTTCTTTTCGTGATGTTTAGTATTGATTCCATTGTGATTGGAGAAGACTTAAGTTTTCTGATTTCTCTAAAACAAAGTCTGTTCTTCGTGGATGCAGTGTTCTGTAAATGGTTATTGATTTGGTGTCGTGACTGAGAATATTGTTGAATTTTTCAGTATGCTTTGTGATTTTCTGTTGAATTATTCAGGGAGTCACTGACAGGAAGATGTTGAGGTTTCCATCTCTAAATGTAGGTGTTCCTCTGTCACCTCTCACATTTGAGTTTGATTCATGCAGTTTTCAGCAGTGTTGTTTGTATAAACACATATAAAATTGGTCTTTGTCTCTATCTCTGTCTCAGAATGGGCTTGAATTTGTAATTCTCCTGCCTCAGCTTCCCAGTTCACTGGAATCACAGGCACACACTGGAATCACCACATCTTGCAGGATTGCTGTTGTCTCAATGCATTGCTACATAAATAGAGAAAGCATTATTTGTGTAAAATATGAATTGCCCTCTGTTTCTCCATTGTGTCCATTTGTGTCAGTATTTATTTATTCAGTGTTGGATATTGAATCCAGTGCTTTTGGTCTGTAGTCCATCTTTATCTGATAGTAACATAGACATTTTTGAGTAATAGAGACATACTGTTTCTTTTCCACCCTTTGATCCTTAGCTTACCTGTAGCATGACATTTGAGTTTGGTGAGTTATAGACAGCATTTGGTAGATCATATGTTTTTAAATCTTTGACTGTTTTGTCAATCTGTGCCATTTCTTTATTTGTTAATTTAATTTTTAAGTTGAACCCACAGCCTTTGCACTAAGCTATATACCCAGCCTGCTTTTTACTTTTTATTTTGAAACAGGGTCTTGCTAAATTTTCTAGGCTTGTCGCAGATTTGTGGTCCTTCTGGTGCAGCCACCCAGAGTCCTGAAATTACATGTGTGCATACTGCGCATGTCTAATTAACCAGTTTATGTAGACATTAGAGTTAATATGATCACTGGTACACCAAGGCTCAGTGTGCCACTTTATGTTCTGTTTTATTATTTGTTCTCCTTTTCTTTTCCTTCCTTTCTTCTTCTCTTTTGCTCTGTTTGGGTTACTTGACAATTTTTAGAATTCCATTTTTATTTACATGGTTTTTTAGAGTATATCTGCTTCTGCTACTCTATGTATGACCATATATATATATTACATAATTTATTGGTCTTCTGGTATTATCATGTTATGAGCTTGAATGTTATTTAGAAACATTGTCTCTTTTTGTTCCTTTTACTTTCTCTTATGTTATAGTTGTTTTAAATATATTTCCTACTTACACTTAGAGTCAGGTCAGGAAGTTTTATAATTTTTGTTTGAGGAATTTTTTGTTCTTTATGAAGGATTTTTTATTTGAAACCTGGGGTTCTTCACATTACAATAGGGGACCCTGGGTCCTCTGTAAGCTATGCTTTATCCAGCTTTCCTGACACTGCTCAGGCCCAGGAAGGGAGGGTAGGCTGAGGCCAAATCCAGGTTCTCCTTTCAGCTTCCATTGGCTGAGTGGGGCTTGGGGTCCCTGATGCTGTGAGGTGAGGATGGGGAATTGTACCTCTGCAGGGTCCCCACTGATCCTGCCGTGGGGGTAGCTTTCAACTATTTAACCCTGAGGGGTAGGGTAAGAGGGGGCACTTATGTGTTACTGGGTGGGGATGGATGTGCAGGCTCATGGGGCTTCACCTGCATGTGAGGTGGGGGGGAACTAAACCCACTTTGAGGAAAGCTCCAGCTCCTAATCCACTTCCCATAGATCTGTCCTGGGGAGTGGGCTGAGTGCCTCAGAGCCTGGCAAGTGAAGTCCAGGATCTGCACTTGGCATCTGCAGGTGATGGTAGAGGTGGAGTCATAGTTGCTCTGGATAATGTGCCTGGTCTTTTACATAATGTTCAGTTAGGAACAGCTTTAGGAGAGGCTTAAGAAAAATGCATTTTAGTTTATTTATGGGTCCTGAATACTGGAGGCTTGGTTTGCTGCATAGGGCTATCTGGGAAAGACACCGGAGTGGTCACGAGGTAGAAGACAGGAATGAGAGGGGAAAGCATTAGAGCAGAACATACACTGAGGTTTCCACAGGCAAGACAAAGCAGGGCAGGGTGAATCTTTGCACTGGCCCATTTGAATAGTTCCAGTGGGCTCCAAGCTGCAGGCAAGGTCCTTAGTTGCCTTGGACCTCATCATGGGATGATTACTGCAGCATAATGCTGCCGCCTGTGTAGACAGGCCAGACAGAAAGGGGCATTTTTTGGACTGTTGAGTTTGCTGAGCAAGGGTACACTCCTGTCTGAGCCATTCCTTGTCTCTAGAAATTGGGAGAGGGAGGGTCTTCCTAGCCAGAAAGGATTTTAAAGGTGTGCCCAAAGACTATTATTTTTATCATAATATTTGGGGAGAATGTGTACACACACACAGGAGATGGTTCAGAATGTTTTCTAAAGTTGTCTTCCCATTTATACAAGGCCAGGCTATCTCTTCTCATTTGCTTGGATGGAACAGGCTTTGTTCTGTGCATTTGTTGGTGTTTTTCTGTTGGTGTCTACTTCTGCTCCAAGTCTGCAGTATTGGAGACACAAAGAAACCTAGAGAAACCACTATCATGGCTTGCCAGTGTCCCAAGGTCCCCAGTGTGTGTCTCTTTCTCTGTGCTTCTCAGAGTCTTTATGTATTCGTTAAAAACACATTTCCAATTCCAAGGATGTTTTTGTCGTCATATTTGGCAGGAAGAACAGGAGAAGCTACTCCTGTTTCATATCCCCAGATGTGCAAATCTCACCTTAGTGAAAGATGTTGAAGTCTTATTATTATTTTTTAATGCTTGAAAGATGTTATTGCATGAACTGAAGGTGTGTGCTGTTTCTGACAAGAAGTCTGTCATCAGTTTCTCATTCTTCCTGTCTATATATGGAATGCTTTTTTTTTCTAGTTGTTTTCAAGTCTTTATCACTTGTCTTGAGCAGTTCTACTTGGAGTTTCTTGAGATTTTAAAAAATGTATACGTACTATTTCCATGAAATTGGAACAACTTTTGGACTTTTAGAAAACAGCCAATACTTCCCAGAATAAAATAAACTTTTTGTGTGCAAAGTTCTTTAAATTTAAACACATGTGTCATATTTAGGTAAACCACCACCTCTTGTCTCTCAGAATATACAATCATTTCATGACTTGTACTTAAAAATGTTCCTTGTACTGTGCTTTTGTCGATAATTATTTCTTGATGTATTTGTTCCATTCCGTTACTTTCATACTTCAGTTAAGTGCATATCATGGGCAACTTGATATTGTCCCCCAGCTCACTGATACACTCCCCTTTTGTTATATTTATTTTAAGGTTTCTTTTCCCTCTTTGTGTATTATTATGGATAGGAGTTAACCATTCTTCTGATTTGTTTACATGCCCCCCCAAACCTCATGCAGGAATGGAGGTGACTGAATCTAGCGTTTGTGATTGGTTCACTGTGCAGGGTGGGAATTGGTGGTGTGAGTGCTAACCCGACCAGGGGTGGGTAGCCAGCATACAGTATAAGGAAGGGAAAGAGTCATGCCTCCCACTTTTGCTCTTTCATTCTTGTTGCTTGTGGCCACCACGAACAGCTGCCCCTCAGCCACACCACCCTGCTTTGGAGCCAGGTGAGTATGGACTGAAACCTCCAAAAAATGTATGCTAAATATACCTTTGTTTGCTTCACTTTGGGTGTCAGGTATTTTGTCTTAACAATGAGAGAAAAGTAACCAAGACAGCCAGGGTAATAGGCTACTTTCTATTCATAATTAATGTCTTCAAATTCACTAATGTTTTGTTCTATAACGTCTAATTTGGTATTAATCCCCTTGAGTATATTTTCACCTAAGAAAGTCTATTTAAATGCTTTTGAGCTATACTATGGGGTGTACAAAGCTAGAAATAATTTTGATCCTTTCAATTTTTTTAAAGCTTTATTTGATAAGTTCTGAACAGCTTTTGTGTAAATAGAATCTATTGTCTTTTGGGGCCAGATAATTTTTTCCTGTAAGGATATATAGTGTTTTTTGTAGGATATTTAGTGTACCTGGCCTCTGACAGCTAGTTGCACGTAAGAGCACATAGCATGAACTAGAAATCAGTGGTTTTTTTTTTTTTTTTTTACAATTTTTTTTTCCTTTTTAATGGTACCGGGGATGGAACTCATGACCGCCTGCTTGCAAGGCAGGTGCTTATGCTGCTGAGCTATATCTCCAGCCCCCTAGAAATCAGTTTTTAGCAATTTTTATTTCAATTATTGATTTTTTGAAAGTAATGAAAGAAAACCATAAAATGGAACAAAACACAACAGTGAGAACAATATTGGATTTTCAATAGAAGATAGAAGGAGATCCCCCATAGTTCCTACAGTGTATATTGTCATCCTCTAAACAGATGCTCATCTTACTGGCTTTAGGCCTCCAAAGTATCAATCAACACAAACATTAATTTGTTTTTGTACTTTGATTGCTATCATCTTGGCCTGTGTTCTTCTAAATCAATTGACTGCGCCCAAGGGGATGGTGAGTCTCTACTTGTCTCCTAGCTCCCGTGGCAGCTGGCTCACAGCAAGGCATAGGGTGACTTCTTGGTTCTCCTCTCTGCCCACAGCTGCTTTTGGCTCATGGTAAGGGCAGGCAGACTTTATGGTTCTCTTCTTGGCCCAAATGGCTGATGTTGGGACTTGGGAAGAGCAGGCTGACTTGGTTCTCTCACTGGCCCACAATTTTGTTGTCTTTTTACATTTTAAAAGACTGAAAAGAACAACATGTTGGGGCCACAATTTATGCTCAGGAAAGCAAGAACATTTATGTAGAAATTTCTATCTCCTGTTATGACAGACATTCTTTCACCATTTGAAACTCCTGGTAACATAGGAAAAAAATTCTTCTTTTTCTTGTATAGAATCAGTCAGACCACAGCCTTTGAAACTAGGAAAAGTATGAGTTGTTTTGATTGTGTGACCTTGGACAGAATTTTACCTCTCGGAACTTTTCCCATAGAGCCTATCTATACTTAGTATTTGGATTCTTTAGAGAATTAAATGGACTAAATGTAGACAGGTCGATGCAAACACATAGCAGCTTCTACTTTTATTTTACCTCAGGAATGTGCTCTTCAAGTATGATTTACTGTCCAGTCACATTTTGCTAATATGAGGCATTGCTATCTATCTTTCAGGCCATGCAGGAGGATTTTGTGTGATGTGTATAATGCAGGCACATATTATCCAGGCACTCAGTCATCCTGGGGATGCTATTAAGCCCATCGCTGTGATCAGTGAACTGCAGGGTAAGTATCAATCGGGGAAGTATTTCTTGGCAATTAGTGTTTTCCTAAGATGAGGGCTGATATCACTAGTCCAGTGATCCGCACACATCACCTCCCAGGTAGCTAGCACTACAGATATGCACAGTCATGCCTGACTTTTAGTTAGTAATAGTGGCCTAGATGATTTTTAAACAGTCAAAAGTTTATAACAAAACAAACAATATGTCTTTCATTGTATATGGTTATCTCTTTAATTAGTAGTGCATGTTTTGTAATAATTTTACTATATAAACTATTTAAAAAATACAAATATAATAAAAATACAATGCTGACCTTAGTTTAATATCATCAAATTTTAAATGATATAAAACTCAGCTTGTTAATAAAATCACTTATAGAAGCCTTTTCTCAGTTGGATTTCTGTGCTGAGTAGTCTCTGCTACTTGCCCACAAATTTCTTTAAATGGTTTGTAATTGATTTTAATTTGGTAAATTAATCCTGTTTTATACGAGTTGACAAGAATTGTCAAAATAAAGATAGTCCTAGTTGGCCAGGGAGTTAGCTCATTAGCCTAGGATTACAGGCTCATACCAAAACACCAGGCTCTGTGGACTTTTTAAATTAACCTTTCTGTCTTTGTAATTAGTTAAGTTGTAATAAAATGCATAGAAATAAAAAAAAAAACTCTTGGCTCCTAATCTGTCATCTAGCTTGGTAATTATAGGGATGCATAACCATGGAACAGTTAACTGTAATCATTTGCCTTAAAAGGTGCTAAGCATTAGATATTAAAAAGGGATTTGGCATTATTGGTGATGCAGATTGAACAGTACAGAAATCTTTATATCATACTAGAGTCTGGTACAATTTAGGTAGGACCAATTTTTATCAATTGATAAGCTATCAATGAACACTCAAATTTAAAAAGACAATCTTTAAGGTAAAAACATAAAAAGAATACGGATTGCTGTGTTGAATATCTTCTCCTTCTGCTGCTCCTCCTTGTTTTTGTCCTTGTCCTTCTCTTCCTTCTCTTACTCCTCCTCCTTTTCCTTCTCTTCTCCTTTTTGTACACCCACGCAAATGTTTTTTACAACTGAGCTAAATCCCAAGCCCACTTCTCTTATTTTTCTATGTCATTCACTTCCAAGACAATTCTGTACCTTCACCATCTTTACAATTCTGTCCAATCACTCGCAAACTTTTCTCTGAAGAATTGCTTCTTACTTAACTTGCCCCACTACACTCTTCCACATGTAGCATCGAAATGGTAGAGAATATATTGGGGCTTTGGAGACAGCTCAGTGATAGAGCACTGGTTTAGCATGTGCCATGCTAGAACAGCCTTTGTTTGATTATTTATATATTTACTTTTAGCAGGTATAAGTAACAACTGTTAGTCTTTAAAAAAGTGTCATTGTCCTGAATGTGTTCATTTGTATACAAATACAGTAGAATCGTGGAATTGCTATTTTTGTCAGTCAAACTGGTGAAATAGTAGCAATTTTACATGATTTCAGTTCGAGGATATTTCTATATTTTCATACATATGCAAAACTCAGGGTATAATAGATTTTCTGTTATTCATACATTTTTGCTGATGTCTTCTTTATAATTTGAAAATAATCATTTTTGCAACTGCTTAGTCATCAAGAACAACTGAAATGAGAATATAACTTGTTCTTGGTCACTGGTACAGGATACGGTTGAATATGTGTGTCCTGCATCGGGTCTCTTATGGATTCGAGTGTCATATTCACAGTGGGTGCACTCACCTCACATTTTGGATGAACTTGAGTCAATAGAACTGAGGTTGACTTTATTCAAATGAATTGTGTCAACTTGGTAAAGACACGAGACTCACCGTGTGGCTACTCCTGGACTCTCAGGAACTGCTGATACTGTGGGCTTTGGTGAGAGTGCATAGTGTTTGTGTGAGTGCTGCTTTCTTATTCAGTATGATGTCTGGCAGTTTCTAAGGAACATAAGTGTAACTTTGAAGCCTAGGCATTTAATATGTAGTGATAAAGGCTTGTCTTAATATTTCTAGGTATAGCTAGTCACTTCCGGTTTGGAAACCAAGAAGATGCTCACGAATTTCTTCAGTACACTCTTGATGCTATGCAGAAAGCGTGCTTACAGGGCAGCTATGAGTGAGTGCAAGTCATTTCTTCGGGTTACATCTCTGGCTTATCACACGTATTTTGCCTTTTATGTTGGAAACTTTACTATTTGGCTTTACATTGTCCGTTCCCCACCTGATTTGCATAATTTACCATGTCTAAAATTTAAAAAGATGTGCTTACCATCACAATTTAAAGGTGATAAATTCTAGATGTTAGGTAATGAATACTGTTTTTGCTGTTACTTAACTTCCGAGTGCCAGCATGCTTTGGCAATCTTAAAGTACTTTCTTCTTTCTAATTGAGCCAGATATTTTCTCTGTGACCTACAGCCTTATAAATATGTTTCCTGCCTCTTGTCTCTGTATCTCCCTCTCTGTTAGTTACCAGTTCCTCTAGCTTCTTCCTGAAATGTAAATGCAGACTCAAGAGAGAGATGGGCCAGACAGTTATGTAACGTTCCTAACCCCCCTGCCCCTGCCCACACCCCTGGTACCGGTACCTCCCTGTGCATTCCACTCACTGTCCAGGCCTGCGTGGTCTGGATGATGGCAGACTCTTCTTCCCTCCCTGCTTCACATCCCACACCGGGTGATGAGGCTGCTGGGACTGCCTGCCTCTTGCTGCTTTGCTTCTGAATCTAATTTCTGGCTTGATTTCAAAGTCCCTTCATTATTTAGTTCCTTCCATCCTCTTCTCCAGATACTTACTGTGTTCCACCAGGCGGGGCTGATCTCTGGGTACCATGTAGACTAATTTTTAAATTGTTCCCTTTTGTACATGCTTGTTGTTTTATAAATATGCACCCTTTAATGTCTAGTCATAGCACCTATAATTTAGCACAATTCTTAAATCACTGTTTTGTCTTTTTCAGATTAGATAGACACACTCAGGCCACCACCCTCATTTATCAGATATTTGGAGGCTATCTAAGATCAAGAGGTAAGATTGTGTTCACAAGTCCATGAAGTGACACAGGCATGTGGTATTAGAATGCCAATAATTGAAATAAGGGAAAATAGACTCCTTCCTCTTCAGTGGCTGCCCCTATGTCAGTTTCTACTATGTTCTTCTGGTAGTTCCTTATTCATGAGGAACTGAGAGGCAATTACAGAATATTTTGTGTTTGTCTTAACTTTAGTAGTAACAGATTCCTTCATACCTGCCATAGTGGTCATTTATTTTATTCTCCTTTGGATGGTTACTTAGGTTTCTATTCTGTATCACCAGTGCATTACTGAACAGCACTCATGCTTTATGTGTGTCTTACTATCTTCTCATTTTTGAGCAAAATACCTGAGATCTAAAGTTAAAGGGGAAGAGATTTATGTAGCTCATAATTTGTATATGTTTCAGTCGATTATCAGCTGGCAACAAAGCTGAGTGGCACAGCAGGGAGGCAACAGTTCATGGTGGCAGAAGATGGCAAAAGAAGCAAGAGCAGAAAGACTGGGGGGAGCAAGCTTCTTTTCTCTCTCTGTATTGTATGCAAACTACCTGCCCTAGGGCAAGTGTAGGTAGCTTCAGACCATGTCTTGCACAGGCTGAGGATGTTTGCAAAGTGAGGATGCTGGACCCTGCTAGATTATTATTTAATATTTTATACTTCTCAAGTTGATCCAAAGGATTGACAATTAAAGCATCCTAGTGTGTAAGGAACTGCACTAGGGCATGTCCTCTACACTGTGGGATGCATATCTGCTGAGTTGCTTAGTGAAGCTACGAAACTTGTCAAGGTGACCCAATGTATCAACCATTACAATGTATAAGTAAAACTGCATGTGATAAATTCTTAGTATTATTATTTGAGTCATAAGTTATATTTTAAATTTTAATATTGGCATTTTGTCATTCTAAGAGGTCATACAAGTTATATTTCAGCCAGTAGTATACTAAGGTCCAAATTCATGAGTCTTTTTCATATATTGTGGATAAGATTAACTTGTCTGCCAATCTAGCAGAAGAAAAGTTATACTGTTTTAATTATCTTTCATTTTAAATTGTTTGTATGTAAACAGCTGAGACTGCCATATTGATTATACTTTGATTATCTTTTTCACTTTATATTTATTTCAGTGAAATGTTTAAATTGCAGAGGTGTTTCAGACACTTTTGATCTGTATCTTGATGTTACATTGGAGATACAGGTAAATCTCATACTTTTTGTGGTGGTCATGTTGTAAATCTTTATTACTCTTTTACTTTTCACTTTGTAAGTGTTAATCAGTCTGGTTTAGATCTGGCAATGGCAAACTTTAATTGGGGTGGGGGTAATCATCCTAATGGGAAAAGTTTTTTTTTTTTTTTTTTTTGTGGCCTTGGAAGTTAATCCCAACGCCCGCTAGCCCTTAGTCAGTTTCCCAGTCTATTTTAAAAATCATTTTGAGGTTGAATCTGAATTGATCAAGCAGGACCAAATCTTACAATCCTCCTCCTTCAATCTCCAAAGTAACTGACAACACAGCCACACCATGCACTTAGAAACAATATTTTCCCCATTAAAACGCTGCTTCAATTTTCTGTGTCTTCTGCTTCCTTGCTTGCTCTCTCTGTCTCTCACACAAGCCACCGGCAGTGTGGGAAGATGTGGCATTGATGCTTTTTCCTCCCAGGATGTTCGCAGTGTTAACGAGGCATTGGCTCAGTTTGTGAAGCCAGAACAGCTAGAAGGAGAGAACTGCTACAAGTGTAGCAAGTATGATGGGGTGGTGTGTGGCTGGCAGTCCCTCATTTGGCCACTCCAGTTGAATCTTTATATTAGAGTATTTCAGAGAAATAATGAGTACAATTCTAGAACACCAAAAAAAAAAAAAAAATCCATACATTAGACATCTTAATCCCTTTTTTCTCTTGACTTCAAGGTGTAACAGTATGGTTCCAGCTTCAAAGAGCCTTTCTATACACAGACCATCTAATGTTCTCACACTGACTCTGAAAGGCTTCTCTAATTGTACCGGTAGTAAAATTGCCAAGGTATGTAGATAATGTTATTAACATTTTATGTGGAGCCAAGATTTAAGTGCCAGCAGCTTTTCAGGGTTACAAATGACCTCACTGAACACTTTTGGTGATTTACTTTCTACAGTTTTCTTGCATTGGATAGCAGGGGAATAAATCAAAGAATTAAGTGAAGGGTTTGGTCTGTGTGCTTAAGATTATGTGCGTCTTTACTATACTCTTGAGGTCAAGCCTGCTGAGAAAATTGGCGACTCTTATCTGTATTAGGCATCCATAGTCAATTCTTTGATATCCATGGTAATGAAAGTACACAGGTAGAGTTTGTATAATGTGAAAGTCCAAAGAAGACTTTTCTCACTAGATCTTCCCTCTCTTTCATCCGAGTTTATTTTCTTGTTTTCTGATTTTTCACTTATATTCAATTTTCCTATTTTCTTTCCACTTGCTAAAGTTTGAAAGTGGTCAAAAATTCATGTCCAAGGCTGACCATGGTGCACTCAGGAAGTTAAAGCAGGAAGATTAGGAGTTTGGGACCAGATTGAATGATATAGCAAGTTTAAAGCTATCCTGGCTTACAGAGTGAAGTCTTATTTCAACAAAGAAACAAAATTGCAATGAAATACACGAGAAATAACTAACCTATTCTTTAATTATTTGAAGAAGTCTGGAATAGAGTCACATGTCAGCACTAGGGAATCTGAGGCAGGAGAGATTTTGCAAGTTCAAGATCAGCCTAGGGTTGAGGCCAGTGTGATCTACAGATTAAGATCTTGTGTCAACAAAGCTACTTACTTACTTACTTACTTAATTAATTAATTAAAACTAAAATAATTGGTATTGAATGCCCAGAGTTGTCATTTTGTGACTATCACCTATCATGTTTTTGGGGAATTCACTTAATATGCACCCTAAATTGTTTAATGAAAATAAAGACTGTGAGAATACCTTAGTTATCCTTAGACCTGGTGTCCTTTAGGTTTATCTTGTCTTTTGAAAAGTGACTTAGCACACTGGGTTTCTGCTGGAAAATCACTGTGCTGTGTAGTGCGGGTCTCCTGGGGCACCGTAAATACCCTGTGCCTGAACATCTATGGCATTCTGTGCCTTTAGAAATGACATTCTTTCTCCTTTGTCCATTTCTGTTTAGATTGTGAAATACCCAGAACATCTCAACATTAGAGCTTACATGTCTCAGCCCAGTGGAGAAGCCATGCAATACTCATTGTATGCAGTGCTGGTCCACACCGGATCTAAGTGCTGTGTGGGCCACTACTTCTCTTACGTAAAAGTAAGTCGTGTGGATTTTGCTCTTGCTTTTACACAGACTCTGTAAGACAGCAAGCACTAGCATTCTCTGGGGGGAAAGCTGGCAGGTTTACAAGTCATGTGTGAATGCTTCTTTTCCTCCTCCTTCTCACTGTGTCTTTGTCAACTTGACCAAATCTAACATTTCTCTCTTGCTGGCTGTCTTTTGCAGGCAAGCAATGGTCTGTGGTACCAGATGAATGACTTCATGGTATCACCCAGTGATATTTCATCTGTGCTGAGTCAGCAAGCCTATATACTCTTTTATATCAGGTAATGTCAATGAAAAATCGGCCACTTTTTCTGTACTGTAATCGCTTTTCAACTCACCCACATTCAATTCATTTTTGAGTTATTTTTTAAAAGCCAGTTTTTAGGTTTTACCCTTTTGCATGCTCTCCAGAGTCCGGAGGACATTTATGAGCTCGGGTTAAGAGCGGGAAGTAGCTCAGTGCCCCTTGGCACTCAAAATTGAGAGAGGCAGAGGAAGACAAAGGTGGTGACTGAGATGGTGGGGTGGCTTATGCTGCTACCTGAACATGTGAAGTGGCCAGAGGGCTCAGGAAGGGAGCTCTGAGTACCCTGCCTGGTCACACCCAGCACCTCTCTAACACTGAGCACAGTGCTGGTTAGGTATTAGTGTGGGCTGGGACAAGCAGTTGGTTGATTCTGATGTGGCTCTAAACTAACTTACAAATTCCACTTTTAGAAAATATCTGCTGTGCCCTGCACAGTGTCCCCTGCCTCTTTCATCCCACCACAGTCAAAGGAGAACGCAGGCACTATGACTGAGCCACACCACAGCCCCCAAGGTACCCCTTTGAAAATATGGTGGCTTACGGTTAAAAATATCCTAAAGTGTTCAACAATGGCAGAATGATGGGTGGAAATACTATGCAGTTTTCAAGAGAGACTTTTTTCATTTCTTCCTTTTTTAAAGACAGTTTCTTGCTGTGTCACCCATCGCATGCTGAGTGCTTTTTATAAACCCCTCCCTTTTTTAATGCTTTGAGAACGTGCTGACTGTACAAGGAGGGAAAGCAGTTTGTTATGAGATCCTGGTGTTGCGCAACAGATGGGGAGATGATCTGTCCAATGAAAGGGGAACCTTCTGTATGGACAGGACGATACATTTGTTTCCTGCTTTCCCATACACTCTCTAGGTTTTCTGCAGTGCTCCATATTTTTAATTAAAAATACAAACAGAAAAATAGCCATCTGATAGCAGCATCCTCAGAATAGCGTTTCAAAATACTGTTTCCTTTACCTTGCTGGCCTTGTGACCTGGACTACGCACCCCAACAGTGACCCACACCCCTACTGCAGCCAGTGCATCCTGTGGCTCTGTGCAGTGTGATGTACAAGCAGTGCCGTTGCCATCGGTGTGTTCCAGAGCGACTGAGTTTGTAAAGCAGTCCCTACTCAAGAGGCCCTTTGTCCTCCTAAGCCCTCTCTTTCTTTGTCCCTAGGACCTATGATGTGAAGCAAGGAGGAGAGGTTACTGCTCATTTCCCCTGCCACCCCTGTCAGTTCTCTTCACACCCGGACACCCATCAGTGTACCTCGACCAAAGAGCAGGCTGCACCAGGGTTTAATGGACCACAGCTGCCATCTCACATGACACGGGTAATACTTCACATGTGGCCTCTGATTTTTACCTCACTCTAAGAGTCTGTCCTTAAACACTCAGGCTAACACTGCAGTAGTTGCCATGTCCTGTCTACAACTGGAATTCTTAACAAAATCCTATCTTCTTAACAAAATCCTATCTTCAGGTCTTTTATTTCAAAACATGAAATGTACAGTTATTTCAGCATGAAAGATGATGGAGAGGTACACGTGGTATGAGCATATTTAAATGTTGGTGCCCACTGTGGACCTGGGCTTTAACCTGGTGTCATATCATTGAGTTTTTAACTCACATTAGCCCTCAGGAAATTGATCCTATTAGAAGGACACTTTGTATCCACATAGCTATTTTAGGAATGAGCCTTTTTTCTCTGTGCTGTCCCCAAGCGTGCGATCATGCCCACGTGTCTGTGTGCCCAAGGGATCTGACAGTCCGCAGGGCGCAGCCATTGGGGACCCCTGCCCAGGCCTTCTGCAGCTTGAACTGCACTAGGTCATTGCTGCTGTCAGGTTTTGCAGCTCAGTTTGAGTTTGGTTTGAACCATGAGATTATCTGGTTAAACGCTTTTTTATGTAGACTTTGGGCTCTATTTCAGTTAAAGGCCTTTATGAGCTGGGGTGATGATGAGGTTTGTGATGGCCCGCTGCTGAATTGGGCAGCGCTTCAGAGACACATCCGGGGACTGACAAAGCAGAAAGCATGCACAGTGGGAAAGGGACAGGTGCAATAGACATTTTAAAGAGGTTTTTAAAACATATTAAGTATTTCTTTGTTTTACCATGCTGATTCAGCAGCTACTTTAGAAAATTAAGAAAACACCAATAGGTCAACTAGTATTTTCCAGTGAACCAGCTGTCACCTATGTTGTCACAGGGTCCAGGGCTAGTACTGGAACCTAGAGCAGTAGAAGTGCATGAGTACAATGCTGACACCTCAACAGGTGACACCCAGCTGTCACAAACCCACATGAAGAGCCCAAAGCAGCCTTTGCTCCATGCCCATGTGACTTTCTCCTTTGTTTGGAAACCAATTGCAATTCTTGCTTCTGTGACTTCTGTCTGTACAGTGGTGATGTCCTAGGAATGCCAGCCAAGGAGAGCATACATGAACCCATGCCTAGAAGGACCCAGAAAGAATATGGTCCCGGGATGGTGTTCTGGGAGACATATATGTCCTGTGTGTGAATTAGTTTAAAATTAGGGCCTGTGATTGGTGCCTGTGGGTAGAGCAGATGCAAGAAAAGGGTGGTGGTTGTGATTTTGTATAATTTGTCAGTCACAAGACCAACGTGGGAAGGCCGTAGGCTGGGTGCTGACCTGGCTCTGGCTTTCTCCCTTGCAGAATCTGCCTTACTGGAACAGGATCCGGGCACCAATAGACACATCAGGTAGTTCCACGTGGAGTCCTGGTGGAAATCCCAAGGTGAACAGGCCTAGGCCTGTTCAAGCTTCTACTTCTGTTCCAAACCGGTGAGTTTACAGACCCTCTGAGAGTCCACAATACCCTATGAGGCCCTGCGTAGAAATCTGAAATTAAGTTTATAGAGAATACAATTGTTCCCACATTCAATGTTTTTATTTTTAAGAAAACAAAACTGAAAGAAATAAAATAGAATAGACAATCAAGACGAAACAATGAAGATGATATAAGACTTCAAAACAAGGTAAAAGGAAACCAACTGTCTACCACGATGCTGCTTACTATCTCCAAAATACCTTCCTGTAACATTAGGCACAATAAAATCCAATAAAACATAACAAAATAAAACCAATCAAAACAAAGCAATGAAAGCAATACAGGCCTACAAAACAAGACTGTAGGAGTACAACAGTGGCTACCATAATGCTTCTTCTTTTCTAAAATGTAGCTGTTTTTACCATCAGACATAATGAAATCAAACAAACAAAATAGAAGTATCAATCAAAACAAAACAATGAACACGATACGAGGCTTCTTGTCAAGATAAAAGGAAATGGCTACCATAATGCCTCTTGTTATCTTCAAAATAACTGCCATACCATCAGGCATAATCAAATCAAATAAAACAGCAAAATAAAACTAATCAAAGCAAAACAATAAAAGTCATAGGGGACTTCAGGGCAACACAATTGGAATAAAACAGTGGCTACGATAAAGTATCTTGATATCTTCAGAGTAGCTGCTTACACCATCAGACATAATAAAATCAAACACAACAAAATCAAAACAAAAAATCACTTACAAAAAAAAAATCAAATCAAGCAATACATTGCTCCAAATAAGATAATAGGAAATCCATAATGGCTACCATCATACTACCTTTTGTTACTTCAGAAATAGACATTCATGCCATCAAGTAAGATAAAATCAAGCAAAACAAATCAATAAAACCAAGCTAAACAGAAAAAGAGCAATACAGGGTATGAAACAGGGTTTAGATTAACAATGGCCACAGCCTTCCCCCTGTAGACACCTCTTCCCCTTTCACCTTCACAACATCTATTGTGCATTTTGGATCCCATCAACTGCTTTAGTTTTTATACTAGGGAGAGAGCATGATGTTCCGTCTTGTGACTCTGAATCATTTCACCATGAGCATGATCTCATGTTGTATTCCTTTACCCACAAGAGCCTCGAGGTTATCTTTCTTTCTAGCTGAGTAGCTTTCCATTGTGTAGAAATGCCACCTCTCTCCTATCCTTTCTACAGCTGATGGGCAAGAGACCCCTACTTTTTTTCTGATTCCCTGTTATATAGAGCACTTTTCTCTCCTTAGACTATCAGTCTATGAATTTCCTTTTGAGTTCAATGTGTTTCTTGAATAAAGCGCAGTAATGGGTCTTATCCCCTCATCCACTCGGCCTGTGTTTCTTTTTATTGGTGAATGGAGCCATCTACATTAATGTTATGGCCTCCATCCACTGGCTGGTCTCTGCCAGGCTATTTTCCTGCCACTGGCTGCCTACTTTTCCCTCCTTTCAACTGAGTTCCCCAATCCATGATCCCCTTCTGATGCTCTTTCTGGAATTCTGGTCTTATTATCTCTCACTAAAATGTGCTTTAGTATTCTTCACAGGGTTGGTTGGGTGGCCATGAATTCCTTCAGTTCTTTGTCATGGAAGTATCTTGCTTCTCCATTAGTTTAGAAAAACTGTTTTCCAGGCTACATCGATTTGTGCTGGAAGCTGTTTTCTTTCAGGACTGGAAATGCTTCACTCCAAGCTCTTCTTGACTTGTTGGTTTGTGTTGCGAAGTCTGTCATGAATGTGATGGGTTTTTTATAGGTGATCTGTTTCTTTTTCATGCAGCTTTTCATATTGTGCTCTTGTGCTGAATTTTTGGAATCCTGATTATTATATGTATTATATGTGGAGATTTATTTTGGTTATGGCTAGCTGGTGTTCCATATGCCTTATCTGTATGTCACATTCTTTCCCCATGTTTGGGAAGTTTTCTGCTCCTACTTCCATAAATGGCATTTTGTGTTGACCCCTGCTTTCTCAGTGACACCTAGTATTCTTAAATCATTTTGCTTTGCATCATCATGAAATCATTGAATTGTTATTTCCTGGTATTATTTTTAAGAGATTTTCCCCTTACTACGGCAACCTCCACACCTGTCTTCAAGGTCTGAAAGTCTATCTTCTGTTTCTTTCAAGCAGTTTTACCAGATTTCAATGGAAGTTTTAATTTCCTGGATAACTCTTTGAATCTGTTTCGTGCATTCTAAATCTGTCCTAGTTAGTTCATTAAAGGTTTCTCTCTGTTTCCTATGCTCTTCCCTTTTTAAATCTATGCGTTTTGTAGAGACGTTTAGCAAGTCTTTTATCATGCGTTTTATTTCATCGTTTACCTGAGATAGTATTTCTGTTCACTGATTTGTTTTAGAGCCTCCTGAAGTTGTCTCTTTAATTCAGTTGCCATCTCTTTAGAAATTTCAGACTCGCAACTCCAGATCTCTCCCACGTTTTTCTCTCCGAGACGTGCTCTGCTTGGTTTGAGTCCATGGGATGCCTTTTGCTTCTTCATCTTGACACTTTTCTTGGATTCTTCCAAACAAGCGGGCAGTGGTTTCCCAGGCCCTTCCTGCATTGGCTACAATTTCACCAAAGTGTGCAAGTTTGATTCTCCTGGATTCTCCTGACTGCTGTGGCCACAGGGTGTGCTGGTACAGGTCCTGCTGTTGCTTTTCCCCAGTCATGCTTTCTCCCTGTGTTGGGAGCATCCCAAGGGCTGCTGGAGTGTGCAGGGGCAAGGGCTGGTGCTGACTCCCTATTGAGCTGGTTCTCGGCAGGCTGACCTACATTCAATTTTTAAAAACAAGTCAGTGTACTGACATAGCTGTAACACAACTCAGGAATAAGAGGAAAGGAATATGGAGTGAAGCTGTGGTTGCTTCATGTGGAATCTGCAGATGAACCAAAGCTGCAGGACACAGTGTATCAGTGGGCAGATACCTGAGCACCTGCAGGTGCACCCTGTGATCATTCAGCATGAACACTGCATCCAGAGTTGCCATCGGCACCACTGGGCTGTGAGCCACTTTGGGGAAGCTTCAGCCACTTCACACTGTGACCATTTCTCATTTTACACAATCCTTTACTTCCTGGGAAGGGTAATGTCTACGGAAATGTTTGAGTGTGTAGGATGGAAAACGATATTACGGAGCTTTTGTTGGATCGTGGAACGGAACTGTCTCCAATTTCACTCTGTGAATGTCCACTTTATATGCTTTAATTTTGTAATTTGGACAACTGTTTCTAAGAAGACAGTATGTACCCATTTACCAGTGATTTCTTACTGTACATTTGTTTTTGAAATTCTGTATTACTTGTACCCTTTTACTGCTTTGTTTTTTATGTCATGTCTTTTTTTGTCTTTAAATAAAAAAAAGAAATGGTAACAATAGTATAACCTGGGGTTTCACCCCAATAGATGTGAGGACATGTCAGGGAATAGCCACCTCCATGGCACTGTGAGCACCCCAGATGGCCCCCAAGACCCTATGTTAGGGATGTGGCATTATTAAAGAAGAATGGGGAGGTAGAGAACACTCCATCCCTCTTTGCCTTCAGATAGAATAGCTGGGTGCCCTGCATTTGCACAATGACTTTGCCCTTGTTTCTTTCCTAATTCACCTTGCTGCTCAAAATGAATGTGCAAGAGAATTTGTGTGTACACACTTAAGTGAGGCCATGCATGCATTGTGGCCAAGCACATGTGCTTTGATTTGCAGCCTCAAAAATCCCCTGCTGCACTCAGGGCTACTACCTTGCCCTCGGGGCTGTGGGAGTGATCTCCTAAGTGGAGAGTGGAGATCACGGTAGGGGTTGCACTGTTTCCAGAGCTGTGGAGAGCCTCAGTGAGTCCCTTAGTTTTCCTTAACTTAAGGAGTTGTTGGCTCTGTTTGGAAATAGCTACCTCACCTCTGAGCTTCCAAGAGAAAGAAGGGAGGCAGGAAAGTCATCAACTAATGACTTAGTTCTTGAGAATTAGAAGTACATCTGGAAACAAGCAATGTGCAGAGCTGCAGAATTATTGTTGTTGAAAACCAGGTAGGCTTGATGTAAATTTTGGTTGGTGTCCAGAAGTGGTAGCCTGATACTGTCCATAAGGTAGCTAAATATACCTAAAGTAGCTATATTTAAAGTGAAAAAATATTTAGTGAATGAAAGCCATGACAATGCATGTAGAGCATCCTGCTAACTATTGGCTTGTCTCTTTCTTTTGGCGGGATGCAGTGTTCCTGGAATGGAGCAAAGTCTGTTTGGGGACCTGACTGCAGAGCTTGAGGCTGTCAGTGTTTCTGCTGGTTCCCATGATGAAGTGGACCCGATTGCAAGTCTGTGTGAAATGTTTAAGAAACTTTTGCTGACCCCGGAAATTAGCCTCAAATCCATGAGAGATGTGATGTCAGAAACCAGCTCAGCCATAACTGATGTGTCTTTGCCCTTTGTAAAGAAACTTTGCAACAAGAACCAGACAAGCACGGGTGCAGACCCAGTTTATGAGCCCTGTGATGCTGGGAAGGTAACACAGGACTGCAGCAAGGTTAAAGGGTTGTTACCTGAGAGCCTGCGGCACTCTGGACTAGTCGGGACAGTGGAGCAGCTGAGCCTGGCTCCCTTCACACAGTCAGAAGGCAGACGTGAGCCCGGGCCCTTGGTTTCCCTCAGGGGAGAGCAGTGTGGTGACACAGGGGCTCAGACCCAGAATACAGGAGAATGTGCCAATGCACTGCCTTCTACTCAGCCACAGAGTACCCCAGGCACCCATCCTGAAGGGGACCCTGTGCACAGCCATGTCAAGGGGTGCAGTCAAGTTCAGGTTGTGCAGAAGATTCCTGACCACCGTCCACAAAAAATAAGCAGCCGTACGCGATGTGACCATGAAGGCTACCATAATCATCACGACTGTTCCTCGACTTGGGAAGATGTAAAGAAAAGCAGAGGTAGAAGCCGGAGCCGGAGCCGGAGCCGGAGCAGGAGCCGGACTGAGGGTAGTTGTGACAGAAAGTGGCTCTGCTATGCGAGAAAGCACAGCAAGCCAGAGTGCCATGCTGTGCAGCACCGCAGTGCCAACCAGCACCCTCTGTGCTGTGGAGACAGAGTCACTCCTGGGGAGCCCTGTGTTCTGAGCAGATACAGCTCCCACCACTCCCAAACCTGGGGTGGGGCTGAGCAGGACTGGAGCCCATACCGCCCCTCCGGCAGGGAGCATCGCAGGCTTCCAGAGAAGTCTGACCCCAAGAAAATGTGGTGGGACCAGTGCAGAAACCTCAACAGGTACACTCCATATGAAGGCAGGCAGCGCAGTGTGAAACGGTCACACAAGGATTCCTCCCAGGCCAGGAAGGGTCAGGAGCTGCCTGCCCTGCTGTGGGAGTGGACCGGCTTCCACAGCCCACACACTGGTGCTTCACCGCCTTTCCCTCTGCACCCCGAGTGCTACCCTCAGGAGAAAGCTGCCTTCGGGGCTGACCACAGTGGCCGCAGCCTGTCTCATGGGATTTGTGGACGTGAAACCATGAGGTCAGGCAAGCGCAGGTACCAGAGTGCAGAAAGTATCTGTAACGGGGGTAGCACACCAAAGAAAGCCTGCAGGAGCCTACCGAGAGACCCGGAGGAGCCTAACAAATCTAAAGCCAAACACCATGAGCAGGAGCACAGGTGAGTGCGGGCTCTGCCAGCAGGGTCCAGTCCTCAGCTCTGTGGGTTTTGAAACTTCACTGTTTCTCTGCATTTCTGAAACGGTGCAGCTTTTACCTCCTGTATCATAAAATGCCTCATTTCGCCATTCTCAGTGAATGCTTTGTAAATCCTAGGAATAATTGTGAGTTCTGTAGAAGTAACTTGGTGACTTCAAAATTGATGGTCACATAAGTTACATTTCATAACTTTGTTTTTGTTTGTAAATTGAGAGACTAAATGGAAGCAGGCGAAGGTAGGGCACAGTTCTATTGGTATTTGCCCTGTATGCCAAGGGTGGATTCTGAGGGGCATCATTTATTGTCTTGGTCTTTGTCCAAGAATCTCAATACAAAACCTAAAAACAGTCATATTTTTAAAATGCTAAATAGGGTGTTGATTGTGTGAGTGTGTGTGTGTGTGTGTGTGTGTGTGTGTGTGTGTGTGTGTGTGTGTTGGGGATGAGACCCACAGCTGTGCTCATGAGGCCAGCACCTGCCAGGGAGCCACAGGCCCAGCCTTGGCTGCCGCCTTGAAACCGACTGCTTCATGAGAAGATGAGTGAGGATGGCTGGAATTCCTGTGTATTCTACTTAACTTCCTTTAAAAACCTAAAATCCTAGCGAAGGAAGGCCAAAAGCTGTATATAAACAGGCATCGGTTACTTAGGGGGCAAATGAAAGCAAATTACCAACCCCTTCCTCCTCTAAGTCTCAGACACTGGAAAAAGGTTTCTTCTACTTTCTTCCTTCTCTCTTTTTCTTTCTTTCTTTCTTTCTTTCTTTCTTTCTTTCTTTCTTTCTTTCTTTCTTTCTTTCTGTCTGTCTGTCTGTCTCTCTGTCTGTCTTTTTCCTTTTCCTTCTATCTCTGATTTCAGTAGATGTCCCATACTTTCATGTTTCCAGCTGACACCCCCAGCTCCTGAGCACAGAGCCTGCGGTGGGGGAGCCAGGGGTGGGTTGAAGTTGGTGAGTTTATGGCCCTGGGCTTTAAAATGATTTACAGCTGAAAGTGGAGAACCCTTCTGAACTAGATAAGCACTGACCTGTGGCTGTACATTGAGTGCCTTCAGTAAGTGGTCAGGACAGTGCCATGTGCTGTCTGAGGTGGTGCTGTTCCTTTTGTTGCTAATATCTGGCTGCTGCTTCTGCAGGTGTCTGCTGGACACAGACCTCCCAGTAGTGCAGTCAGACAGTCAGCCCTGCAGATACCAAAAGAAGAGTCACTCGGAGAACTTTGGAACAGAACCAGGACTTCACTCACCCAAGACCACAACCTGTGAGACTGTGGATGATGTCTGGAGACCTCGGGGTAGCTCCCTGCTTGCTGATGGCCTGCCTGTGGAGGGCTTTGGACTTTTTCAAATGGAAAAGAAACCCTTAAAGCTGGACAGCAGGACTGACTGGTGCCAGTATGGCCAGGGTAAGAAGCGATTTGTGGAATTAAGAAGATAAAAACTCTTTCACAAAACTTGTTATGAAATGGGGACTGACTGACACAGGGAGGTGTAAGCCCAAGTCCCTGGAAGGTGGTGTGAGTAATGCAGGGCTCCTGGCTCTCCAGCCTTGACTCACAGGCCCTGTTGATTCACTATCCTTGTGCAGTTTGGATGCTTGACAAGGATCCATTAGCACTAAAGGATGGTTTCTTGGAAGTTATATTTATGACTCCTGAAATTCATGGCTCTCTGGATTTCTGCATATTTACTTACAAGGGAGAACTTACTGTTTTTGATGCATTTTTAGTAATGATGCTTTTGCACAGGCAGAGTGTATTGTAACTCACAACTTGATGACATAGGCCATTCAAAAGTTAGCTGCCACCTCTAAAGTCGACGCCTTTGCGCTCCTGGTTTCGCCCTCTTATTCTGGGATCCTGGGCATCTTGGATCCTTGTGTGTCAACTGTGTCTTCTTGTGAGTTAGCAGCTCTTTGTGCTCTGATTGCAGTGGGGCAGCCCCTCCCCCTTTCTAAAAGGTTCCCCAAGGAGGAGCCCTGAGAAGCTTGTTAAGATTGAAAGTGACAGGAATGGGTCCTGGGACCCAGTTTCCAAGCTGCAAGTAGAAGACCAAAGCAGGTCCTGTGCCTCTCACATCAGCTGTGAGGTAAGGTGGCTTTCATGTCTTCAAAGCCTCCAAGGAGGAGTAGGAATTTATGTCATCTGAAGACTGTGTGAAATACAAATGTCATGGTCTGCAGACTTCAGCTGAAGCACAGCTGGTGTCTGTGCATGGCTGGTGCTCCTGCCAGAGGAAGGTGGTCACTGCTGAGACCGCACAGCCCACCACAAAGTGTTTATCCCCTGGCCCTTCACAGAAAAGAAAGCTCAGATGAAATGTGTTTTCTTGGGGAGGTCCAGTCAGGGACAGACCTGTGCCTACTGTGTCCCCTTGAGTGCATGCAGCTGTCATAAGTATGATGAGAAGCAGGCCTCAGGAAGCCTGAGGCCACCACAGTGGGTCCAGGCAGAGTCATCTCTGTGCCAGGACTGGAGCGAAGCAGTGTGGCATTTGCTGTTTGTGTTATGGAATTGTGTGCATTTGTAGAGCGTTTTCACATTACTGTTTCGTGATTTGTGGAAGGGTGGGGCTTTCTGACCTCTGTGTAGTACTTGAGGATTCGGTAGTGAGAAGAATTTTGTCTGCATGATGGCAGCGTCCTAGCAGTGTTGGAATCTGTCATCCTGGCTGGGCAGGTGAAGCCTCAGGGCTTAGCAATGTGGAGACAGCAAGTTGACCACCAGCATTTTGGGCTGTGTGCACTCATCCACTGAGGAGCTGCAATCAGGTCATGTCTCACTCCCAGTGCACTGATGACTGGTTTGCAGCCAGCACTTCAACGGGGAGCACACACCAAGTTCCCTGGGCTCCAGGTCTCCTGGGACGGGCCTTGGCTGAGGCCAGTACTCTGCCATCTTACATGCGCTGGCCTTCCTGTGTCCTAACATTGACCGCTGACCTTTCTCCTGCAAGTTCCTGACCTCTGGCTTCATTCAAATCCAGTTAATTTCTTTGGCCCGAAGTCTGTTGCAGCCTCATGTGGGAACTCAGCAGTGTGATGGTGTTGGCATGGCCTGTTTCCTGGGGACAGGTTTGGGGACTGCTGTCTGACAATCCATCATCATGGGAACTCAGTTTACTTTCAGGGGACTCTTGTGACAGGGGCTGTGTGCAGCTTGACCTTGCTCAGACTGATTGGAGCTGAAGGCAGGCAGCCAGTGTTAAGCTTCAACAAAACTATGAGAACCACTTCATTCATGCTGAGAGCACAGACAGTAGAAATTGTACTGTCATTACAATGTTTATTACCCTTTGCCTTTCAGGTGATTGACAACTTGGTCTCGGAACAAATAATAATCACTAGCTCAGGTAAGTGCTTCCCCTGTACATTTTCTTCTTCATAGAAGCACTGGGAAGGGACAGAGAAGGCGTCACATTTCTGAGGAAAGTCAAGGGTCATGGAGTGGTGAGCTATGGAACCAGCAGCAATGATGGGGACCTCTGAATTCTAAGCAAGCACTGAGGGTGGGACCTCTTCTCCCTGGCTGGGGAAGGGGAGGCACTGCTTCCTCCCACCTCCCTCAGTGGAAGAAGCCCACAGGGAACCCCCATCAGAATCAGCCACCATGAGATAAGCATCTGGGATGAGAAGCCCTTGTCCCCTCCCCAGAAAGCAGAGTCCATCACAAGAGCTCAGCACCTAGGCCCGGTGGGTGGTCAGGCCCAGGCTGGGTCATACCCCTCACTTGACACTGCCATCTTGTTGGGATGAGGTCCAGGGACTAGTGCAGAGCCTTCATTTTATGGAGGCTGTGTCTGAGTCTCTGGTGGTCTGTACTCCTGGGAGGTGGGGACTCCTGTTCCATGTTATCCACTGGTGGAAGCAAAGGGAGAGGTGAACCATTTAACTCCTGAAAGGAAACTGTCTTTATGGTACTCATAACCAATCAGCAAGGATGATTTTAAATGAACTTCAAGGTGAACTATCGAAAGATGATCAGTGTGCAGTTAATTAACACTCTTTACTTGTGTGTCCTCAAGGGAAAGCCTTAAGTCTGAGGACTGAAAGTCTTCTGGAGTGAAAGAGGATCTAAGGATTGGGAAGGACTGGCCACAGCTGGGTTCCAGGCTATGCAGGTGCAGTGTGGCCCAGCAGGTGGCGCCTCCCTGGCCAGGCCCCCAAGAGCTCCTCTGCAGCTGCCTGGCTTCCATGGGTTCCTCTACTGCCTTTCAGAAAGGCAGCAATGGCTTCAGTTGAAAAGAGCTTCCTGAAGAGCAAGGGGACCTAAGGACTGGGGGGGACAGAAAGGGGAACCTGGCCCCGGGGGGACCCTCCTTTTGACTAATGCCTGTGCCTCCTGTCTCAGATTCAACATGTTCCACAGCAGTCATCCCAACTCGGTTACAGTATTAACATAAATTTGTTCAAATCTGGGTGATGCCTCCTTAGTAAATGCTGTACATATTTTGCCATGATTCTTTGGGTTTTTATCTTTTCTTAATTGCCCCTATTCCAAAAGGATGAACACTTTCTGCACCTGTGGACATTGTAAAGTGCTGTGTATATAAATCACAATGAAAATAACACCCAGCCACAGCACATCTCACGTGCTGCTGAACTGCACCATTACACACTCAGGCTGAGGACTCATATTTATGTAGTGTTCCTCCAAGTTAGACACGTGATTGTGCAAGACCAACTGGGAAACCATGAAATTATTAAAAGGACAAACCGACAGCACAGGGATTTCATTTAAAGACTTACTTAAAAATTTACAAGCTTTCAACTCGACCTTTGATGGCAGGCTGTTATCTGTGGTGTCTGACACTAAGAAAATTAATTTGCTTCCTAGTTTAATTGTATTCAGGTGTGAAAAGGTGTTTCACAGGCAAGATTTGCTTTTGAACTTTGCAGAACTATTCCAAACAACTTACCAGCTATGCTGAGTATTCATACTATTAATTTAAAGTCCAAATACTTGTGAAGATTACAGTATGTTCTTTATGATATAACCCTTTCTTATACTGGGTCTTGTCACCTGTAGGATCCTGGAGTCAGTTGTCAGCCTGGTCCTAATAAGAGTTCTAGTTATGGACAAAATCATGCTGTGATGTTATTTTTCATATGGCTATGCTATAATATTGGAGCAGGGAGCATGGTATTTAGTAGTGTCTGTGTAAGTAATTGCATGGTTTAGACAGTTTGTGCGGTTCAGCGATTCCTAGTTTGGTCTTTGTTCTCTTAAAGATGGAAAAGCACTTGCTCCGCTGTCAATATGCAGCAGGTGGAATTGACATAGTCCATAAACGGCAGCAAAGCAGTCAGTTTGTGGCATTTGTCAGCTTTTGTCCCCACTCACTTGCACCTGCATCTTCTGTCTTCTCATTCACTTTACTGAAAAGCTGCACAGTTCTGCCAGAATCTCCAGGGGGGCCTCAGACCTCAGCGATGGATCCGGGGCCACCAGGCCGTGCTGTGCTGGGCCCAGCACGTCTCTATTTTAAGGAAGCAAGCCTTAGACAGCCTTACTTTAAAAACACATGTGGTTTTGATTTAGTGAAGGCAATATTGCAAGCTTTAACAGCCATACACATTTCACTTGCTTTGCTCACTTTACAGAAAATTATTGGTAGATATTTTATTATCAAGAAAATACTCATGTAAGTGGTAGGAGGTATGTATAGTGAATAGCGAAACACTCAAATCAATCTATCTTATTACATATTGCTTATATTTCGGTTAATAGAGACATTTTCTGGGGAAAAATAAAAATAAGAAAACTGGACTCTGATCTATAATAGCAGCAGAGCATCTGTGTAGATGGGTGCATTTTTAATCTTAAAAACAAGCACTGCTTTATATGAGGCATTAGATGCTGCTTTATTTACAAAAGTTTTAATTTGAGTTCATTTAGTGTCCCATTAAACCACCTGAACTGTTTCAGGAACCTGGAGATATGGGGCCTCGTGTGCCCATAGGGTCGGGCCAAATAAACCTCAAATGGTACCCGGGACCCAGGAAGACAGCTCGTCTGGTGGTGCTCTTTGTGGAGCTGCCATCTCTGGGCCCAGGTTCCTGCTCAGAACTGCCTGCCACCCTTTGTCTCTGGAGGAAGCTTGGTTTCTGGCCAGACATGGGACCAATAATGCAAGACAAAGTTTAGACCCTCAAGTGGGGAGGCAATGAGCACAACTGAGCCTCACTGTCTGCTCACTGAAGGGAGGCTCTTCCCACTTCTAGGTTGCCTGGTATAGGTCAGGTACACAGCAGGATGTCAGATGCCTTCAGTGTTAATACTGTCACAGAAATCCTGGAGCTAAGCGATGTCAAGCAAGGCTCTTGATAGGGCAAGTTACTGAAGATGCTGAGCCCCAGGGTCTTCTGCCTGATCCTGGGTGAGCAGCCATCTGGCATAGATGCACAGAGGTGATCGTGGTGATAAAAGATTCACCAACAAGACTCCATGCTCACTTCTCTCAACACCTTCAACAGAAAGGCCCACATGCCCCGGGAGGGTGCCCTGGGATAGATTTCTAGTACTGCAAGAGAAAACATAAAAATACCTCCAAATCAGCACTGCCCATCTGCAGAGAACTTGGGGAGGTTTAAAAGCAGTTGCCAGATAAGAGGAGCTACAGGGCCACCATGAGGAGGCTCAGAAGCTCAGTCCCACAGCCTCACTCTTCTGTCCTCATGGGGTCAAGGGTGAGCCTCTGGCTAATGCAAGAAGACAGAGGACAGAGGGGTCCTCAGAACCAGCAGAGAGACTCGATTTCTTTACACTCAGTAATTCAGGGAAGAGATTTACCAACTGCTTGTCTTTTCTGTGACTGCAGCCAACACGTCAGCAAGCCCCACTTCTTCTGCAAGGATCCCAGTACTTTTGTCCCCACTGGCACAGTCTCCTGGATCCCACCAGTGATTTCTGGATTTGATGACATCCCACAGCGCTTACAGTGCATGTGAGGCCACATCAGCATCACAGAACTGCACTTGGAGGAAGGCCAGCGGCAGTAAGATACATCTGGGGCCTGCCTCACCTCAGGCCCAAGCCAGTGGCTGCTCCTGCCTCAGGGACCAGGTCCCAGTGAGCAGATGCTGCTGCCATTGGCCCCTCCCTGTGAGGTGTCCCACTGACCACCCTCCCTAAAGTTGCAACCCCCACCCTCTGTGCTTTCCTGGGCTGCATGGCATCCTCCACCTCCTGTTTTCTGTCTACCTGGAGGGTGGAGGGCACGGACCATGACTTTGCTCTCCTCTGCAGGCACCATGGCCAGTCCTTCACTCAGTGATGTTCCAAGCTGTGGTGACCTGAGACCTGGTGAGAGCTGAGGTCAGGCCTAGAGGCTCTGATGAAGCTTCCGACATGCTTGTATTTTGGGCGGGTATAGGGGTTTGGTACCAGTAATCGAACTCCTGAACTGGCTCATGCCAGGCAGGTGCTTTTGCCACTGAGCTAAATCCCTGGCTGTCCTCAGTTTTTCAGTGGGCAGGGAAGGCTGTTCTTGCTTTGTAGATCCCCATATTGGGCTGCTCCCTGCTGACCACTACTGTCCCCTACTCTACTCTGTCCTCTCTCCTTGGTTACTTACATTTGAATCTGTTTCTGCTGGCACCTTCTCCAAAGTGTTCATACTGTGACATGGTCCAGGTCTCAGGCCAGCCACCTTGGGCTAGGTCAGGCCATACCTGCTGCTCTTCCCTTGTCCTCACCCTGGCCAGCAAATCATCCCACAGTGTGCTGCCCGCCTACCACCAGCCTCCCCTAGACAGCTGCTCAGACCACAGGACAGCAGCACTGCCCCTACCAGGCCCCCTGTCTGGTGCTCCCTGTACTTCCACCAGTGACTCTCCTCTGCCCCGATCCCCCCAGACCTCCACCCCAGTGGCTCGAGGACCCTTATTCTTCAGCCTCACATTTGTCTCCATAGCAAGCAGCTCCTTCCAACAACTCATATCCTTGGCTTAGGGCATCTATTATCCCTTCCCTCTCTCTGCCCAGGGCAGCCAGCTAGGCCACTCCATGTACCGGCACTGTCACCTGAGTGATAGGCCAAGGACAGAGTGACAAGAGTTGCACAGGCTGAAAAGAGCCAAGGACCCACTGTATCAAGGCAATGCTGACTGCTCTCTGTCCCCTTGGTCTGCTCCTGCCCTCGGTGCAGTGCACAAAATATTGACAGCTGTAGGACTTTTCAGGAACCCCTAGCTCTATGCCAGTAATCAGCTGCCCACATCCATGGAAGCTCATTGGCAGTGGCCATGCCATGGCCTCATTCGCAACTCACCATGCCTGTGCCCTTCTCTGGACACACAGCTTTCAAGCACCAAATGTGAAAATATGAATCAGTTCCCCATGATGCCTGCACATTCAGGCCCTCAGCCACATTCTTTGAGTCTCTATGGTGAGAACAGATCTGCTCCACTCTTTTGCATTTGATACTTGGGGTGAGTATTATAAGACAATCCTATAAATTATGTGTCCTGCATTGTTTCCCCTGCAAACGGTGACTACCATAGACAGGAAGTATCAGAAAGGCAAGTCAGACTCAGTTTCCATGGACAGAAACGCAGTGTGATGATCTCACTGGTTTGGACTCAGCCAAAGTATCAGAGAGACAGAAAACTGCACGGTCTGATTGTCCAATACCATTCTCCCATCCAAGGACTAACCAGGTCCGACCCTGCTTAGCTTCCGAGATCAGAGGAGATCGGACGTGTTCATCTTGGTATGGCCATAGACTCCAATACCATTCTACACTTTACCCATCCAAAGAAAAGTACATATGTGTCTTCTGGTGATGTACCAGTTTAAAGACAAATAAGTGGGTTACTGAACAAATTATTACAAGTGATTGTTTCATATAAGGCTTCACCAGCCTGACAGTGCAACAGGATGGTAAACCTTGCTGTCCTGAAAACTGCAGAGCAAGAGAGGGGTATGGTAATGAAGCAAAGACACCAGGGGGGCCCCCATGAGCAGAGGCAGCGCTGTTACTGCTCCCTGGCCTGGTCTATGACTGGCACCAAAGATCAGGAAGCTGGCCTTACTGAAAAACCAGCACCTCAAGAGCAGGCAGTGCCTCCGGTTTGCTCTGGAGGGGCCACAGCTTTAAGAGGTTCTTGCAGTCCTCTCACCTGCTATTTCCATCCCTCTTATGTGTTCTATAATCTCTGTGGCCACAAAGTTTGGTGGCTGTGCCCTGAGAAGCCAAACGTCTAATAGGCCCAAGGGAGGGTTTGCTCTGGACACTCAGGACCTATCTTTGCAAGTCAGTACACTTCAGACCTCAAGGAACATTGGTACATCCTGTGACATGACTCAGGAGGACTTAAGAAAGCCGGTCAGGCTTGGAACAAGGAAATTTCTGTGCTTGCAGGTGCGGAACAGAGAAGTGGCCGCTGGGGAGGCTGAGTTTCCTTTGAAGGAGACTGGGGCTGCAGCCATGAGAAACTGGGACCCACTGTTCAAGTTCACATCCGAGACGCGGAGGTGAAATGCAGTCAGAAGCTTGAGAGGACGAGGGCAGCTATGACTGTGAGACTGCACCTCAGAGGGGAGAGAGGCCAGAACAGAAGGGGAGCACAGAGGAGCAGCCTGCTCTGAGCATGGTGACAAGTGTCCTCAGAACTGAGACGTTCATGTGAAGGGGAGGCAAAGCTTGGAGTGATGTGCCCATGATCCAAGGACACAGCGGATGCAGGGACAGGCCTGCAAGGCATTGTCCCTTGGTGCAGAAAGGCTTCTGGCCTGCTGAACTGCAGGAGAATAAAGTTTTGTATTTTAAGGCACCCAGTTTATGGCTGGTTTTCTGCAGTGCCCCTTGGAAACTGATACGTTGTGTAGGTGGTTACTCACCAAGGAAAGCAAATGTTTCACTAGAAAATTTTAGTGTTTTAAAGTATTGCTCAAAAAGTCGAACAAGATGGTGGCCACCATTCAAACTACTAAACTTAGCATCTGCTTCTTTATTTTTAACCTACATGTGTCTCTCAGAAGAAGCTGGCATTTTAAAAACAACCTAACAGCCAAGCTTTGTTTGCTTTTTGTTTGGGACAGGGTCTCCCCTGTGGGTGGCTTAGGCTGGTCTTGAATGCTTGGTCTTCCTGCCTCAACCTTTTCAGTACTAGTTTCTGTTTTTTAACAAGTTAATTTGACCTGGTCAGATTTCTGATCATGGATTTGTGAGGACTTAATCCTGGGTTCTTATTTTGTGCTTTCTATTTCAGCTCCCTTTTCAGCCTCTTGTTAAATTCATCAAGTTTCCTTTATTCAAACTTTCCTTGTCACTTATATAAGATATTTAGTTCCTGTGTCTATTTTAACAATTACCTAAACTTACATTTATCTGTCACCAAATGGAAAATCTAGCTGACTGGTACTTTCCTGTGTATTTTTGCCTTTTAATTTTTGCATTTAGACTTACCTGTAAGCCCCACCCTCCCTCCTGCCAGTACTAGGGGATTAAACCCATGGATTCTCTATCAACTGAGTTATACACTGTTCTTCTCTTTAAAAAAATTACATTTTTCGAGATGACCTCACCAAGTTCCCATGGCAGGAATTGTATTTGGGATCCTCCTGCTTCAGCCTTGAGAGCCTTGATTTCAGGCTGGAGCCACCATATCTGGCTGAACTATAAACATCACATAGCTTTCTACCTTGTGGATTAGTTTTGTTTGTTTAGAGGTGCAAAACTCCAACTTCTCAGTTACTAGAGTCCAGGGGAAAGTCTTGGTGACAGAGTCTTGCCTGACTGGAAAGGTCTTTACATGCCCTCCTTCTGAGGGACATTTAGGGAAGTCTGAATTTGCTGTTTGAACTCACTGTGCCTCACATCTTGGAACTGTTTCCTTGCTCTTTCTGATACAGCATTTCCTGATAACGAGCTCATTTTTTCTTAGATGGCTTGGCTTTTCTTCCTGGAAAATTTAATGACTATCTCTTGACCCACAACTTTTAGGATAGTTTGTCGAATACATTTAAATATAGATCTTTCAACAATTTATACTGCTTACCATCTGGTAAGTTCAGTGAATCTGAGAGTATTTTCTTAGTCTTCTAAAATCCACCAAGGTTTTCTTACAACATTTCCTTCCATTTGACATTCTCTCCTTTGGGATTTCAGTTGGATGAAATCTGGGTTGTTGGTCTCACCTTCCATGTCTTGTACCTCTGTGAAAAACCATGAAGAGAAACATTATACTCTCCCCTAGTCCATAGGATTGAACAGAACCACCAAGTCACAGAGCTAATGCTACACCTCAGAAACTGGAGGAAAAACTCTGCACATGTTACAGTAGATCACAACCATGGAGGGGGAAGTCAGGGGCACAAGGATTGTTTGAAAGTGGGAGCAGTTGGGAAAAAGCAGGCCACAATACCCAAAATGGCATCTCCAAGGGAAGCTTTGAGATAAGGAAATGAGGTCACTTGGATCAGAAGGGATTCTAAGAAGCAATGGTAAAGGAGTTCCTGAGAGCTGGAGGAAGGGGTTTCAGGCAGTAACAGCTCCAGAGGCTGTATCCAGGAATTCTGTGGCCTGCACTCAGCCCTCAGAGGCCCCAGACTGACAGAGTTGTACAGCCTGCCACAAAATTCCACGGCCTGAGGAGAAATGGTTCTGTTTTCCAAGAGGCTCTGGAGGGTGGGGAGGAGAGGTGGGAGCTCCCTGCAATAGACATGGGCCGAATGAGGACTGTGGAGTTGGAACCGTGTTCTCCCCAGGCTGTGCTGCAGTGAGGGCCCAGCTCAGGGGAGAAGGACCTCACCTTGTCACATATCCTCAGGTTTTGTCCCAGGCCAAAAGTGCCCACCACAGGATTCTCTGAAGAGAGCAGAGTGTTAACGTGGGAGCTGGCACATGGTTTCTCACAAGGCAAGAGGAGAGCAAGCAGGAGGACTGGGCCTGGCTGGGAGAAGGGTCTGGCTGGGGCTCTGGGCAGGCAGATGGGAAGAGTGGGGAGAAGGATGTTCACCTGGCAGGATACTGGGCTCGGCCACAGAGTCCTGGGGAGCAGTAGAGCGAGGGCTGGGTAGCAGCAGTCTCTGTGTGCTCCTGGTTCACAGACTCTCCCTTCTGTGTGGGAAGAGGAAATGACGTAAAGTTGTGTGCTCCCAGAGAACCACATGGCGTCCCCTTACCTAAGCAGCCAGGCCAAGGCCTCGTGGCACTGAGGTGTTGCTGACAACAGGTGTTGCCTCCCCAAGGTCATTTGGAGACTGCATGGCTGCTCCATGTCACAGGTTTGCTGAGGAACAGGGCCCGGTCCCCTTGGCTTCATGTGACTCTGTCGTAGACCCAGGCAATCCTTCCATCTTCCCTTCCATTCAGGGCACTGGGTTTACCCTGGAGGCCAGGTTAAAACACCCAGGCATGGCCTCCTCCATGTCCCCCCGCAGTACTGATGTCCTTGTCTTCCCTTGCTTCTTGCCAGAAGGCTGAGGCAGGAAGTAAGGTGCCAACCGAGGAACTGGATCAAAAGCCCTCAGCTTGTCCTCCAGCACCTCTAACAGCCAGTCCCTTCTCCTCTTCTGGCTTCCAAGGAAAGAACGTGGGATCTGCGCAGCAGTCTTGAATTATGGGAGTTTATTTTTTTTTTTGCATTATTGAATTAATTTTCAGTTAAAGTATTGCTAAGCTCCATTTTATTTCAAAGAGAAAAAAATTTCAAAACACATAAATTGGGGCAACAATGGCACACACATTGCACATTGTCATCCAATTAGGGGCTTAAAAAAAGGCTCTTTATGAAAGACAACTCCAGTGACTCCCTTTAAATGCAGAACATTTACTGTGACTTTGAGTCACATTTCCTTATACTTTTATACATTGGAGACTCATTTCCTTATACTGATATGTAAAAAGCTGACTAGGATATTTCCTTTTCTCTTTAATTGGCTCTAAGCATTGCAAATAAGGCGAGCCAAGATGCTAATATGTAATCTCTAGAGCCAACAGACAGTCCTGTTTCCTCACATAGTGTTCTCTGTACAATATAGATATGTACAGCATAGGAGCGTGCCACATGTTAGCGCAAATAGCTCTCAGAAGATCAACTGGGTATAGGCTTCAAGATAAGAGACTGTGACTCCTCAGGGCACAAGAGTTTGCATATCAGAAACCAAAGCAATAGCCCCTCCAAACAATTTCAATGCTACCTTAATTGGATTATGTAAATTGAGCCTTCTGCATATCTATCTCTTCAATTTACAGAGATGCCATTCTTGCAGGTGGCCAACCAGCTCAAGTTAGTCACATATGTCCTGCTATTCTTACTGTCACTCATCCCTGAGCCACCCCTCTTCTTCACAAGACAATAAATTCTGGGCGAGGCCTAGGATTGAGGCCTTTGTCAGCATGTCCTCACGAGGATTGGACTTAGGATCCTTTGGCTGACCTTAACATGGAACATGTCTTGGAGTCTTTACTCTTGCTGTGGGTTGCATTGGAGGTGGTAGATTGGAATTAACTTGCTGGGATTCCAATAAGTCTCAATGGGATTATAAATATAACTTCTTGGATTATGAGAAAAACTAGAAAGAAGATTACAATATTTGGATGACTGAACTCGATATTTGGGTTTACAATAGCTATAACTACTGCATTGATATCGGAGTATAAGAATGGACTTAGGCTGATTACGAAAGGAAAAAAATCTACAGTAAAGAGTTTTTAAAAAGTGTTACCATCTTTTTAAAAGGTTTCTTTTTTTCCCACAGCCCCTCCAGCATTTGTTGTTGTTTAATTTCTTGATGATGGCCACTCTTTCTGGAGTGAGGTAGAATCTCAGTGTTTTAATTTGCATCTCTTGAATGACCGGTGATGTTGTACATTTTAAAATTTATTTATTTGCTGTTTGCATTTCTTCATGTGAGAAGGGTGTGAACCCATTTTGGGGGGGGGTTAAATATCGGAAGACTGATGTTTTTGAATTCTTTGTATGCTTTTGATAGTAATCCTTTGCCTGAGGAACTGCTGGCCAATATTTTCTCCCACCTTGTGGGTTGTCTCTTCACTCTGTTGGTGGTTTCTCTTGCTGTGCAAAAGCTTTTTAGTAAGATGAGATCCCATTTGTTGATTCTTCGTGACAGTTGTTGGGCAGTTGGGGTTTTGTTCATGAAGTCTTTGCATACACCAATGTCTTTAAGAGTTTTTCCTACTCTATCTTAACAGCAGATTTAATGTTTCTGTTTTCATATTTAGTTTGATCCATTTGGACTTTAGTGCATGGTGATAGACTTAGGTCTGTGTTGACTTTGTCTACATTACTGAGTTAGCTTTTTAAATCTACCAGTTTTTTAGTCAAGGTTTCGGGGTCTTCTAAGTAGAGTACTATGTCATTTGCAAATAATGACAGTTTAACTTCTTCCTTTCCTGTCTTTATTCCTTTTAATTTTTTCTCTTGTCTAATTGATCCAGCTAAAGTTTCTGGGGCTATATTGAATAAGGTGGAGACAGTGGACATTTTTGTTTTGTTCCTTATTTTGTAGTTTTTAGTTTTTGTCCATTTAGTATGAATTTGGCTAGTGATTTGTGGTAGATGGCTTTTATCAGTCTGAGACGAAGACCATCTATTACAATTTTCTGTAGAGTTCTTATGATGAATGAATGCTGGACTTCGTTAAAAGCTTTTTCTGCATCTATTGAGATGATCTTAGGATTCTTGTCTTTGGCTCTGTTATGGCACATTACATTTGTTGATTTACATATGTTGAACCATCCTTGCATCCCTGGGTATCCCACTTGATCATGGCATAGAATCTTGATGATTTTGTGCATTCTGCTTGC